ATTAATGCCTCTGCATTTCCCTTGCTCCTGTTAGAGGCTTCATATTTCGTTTCTGTCATTTTTTCAGATAGCACTTCACGGTTCGTGCCAGTATTGCTTTCATTAAGAAAATTGTCGTCAAAGATTTTCCGTTTTCCCGATTCCTGTTCGTTTTCTTTTCTTGTGCAAGGAAATCTTTGGTCGTTTGAATTTGCTTTTGATATTATTGCTTGGCTGTCATGAACGTCTGATTCAGTTTCGTTGTTCGAACAATTAATACGATAACTTGCAGTAGAACTTTGGTGCAGTATATCGTCGTCCGGTTTTGTGTCGTAGATGTTGTACTTTGTTATCCTCTGTTTTCTCGCCAACCCAGGCCTTTGCATGCATGATATCTCGTTCTCTTGTACCACCTTCTCTACGCTCTGTTTGTCTTTGTTTTTTCCTCGGCCTTCAACTGGCAGTGTTCCCTGGCATTCACTTGTTTTCTTGAAGTAACCAGGATAGTCCGTACTCTCTTCAGACCTGTAAAATTCTTTGTCTACAACGTAATCTATACTTTTTACAAGCGAATTAAAATCTTTGCCGTCAAAGCAATCTGTACTCTCTTCTAACCTACTAATTTCTCCTTCACTTCTCCGCTTGTTTTGCTGACACGAGGAGTTTGTTTCTTGAGGTAGCTGACATATTAATTGTGCTTTATCTGGAAGATAATTTTCTGCCAATTCCTGCTTAGTCCACTCCTCGCCTTCAAAATGTTTTTGCAATCCGTGAAGCAACAGGCAGCACAGTCCGTGTAAAGAACGAAGGACGAGATTCCACAAACAACAAATGAGATATTCAATGAAAGCATAAACGAGAAAAGGAGCTAAAAACGTAATTGCCACTGCAAGATCTGAAACGTTTTTTCTTCCGCTGGACCGATCCATGGGCTTTGAAAACTGAAGGTTTTTGATTGTGACGTCAGTTAGTAAATTCCCGCGTGCTCTTCAGAGAAAGTGCAGTTGCACGTGGTGTTTGCGAAGCTGCATCGCGCGCGCATAAACGAGTGCTTTCTCTTTATTGAGGCAATTAATTATAATCAATTTGAGTTAACTCCGCTCAACGATTGCTTCGCACTAACCAGGTCAGATCAAGGGAGGGCCATAGCGAAGAATGGGGCATGAAAAAGCTGAGTCTTTGTATTCTAAATACTTTAGCCACTAAATGTAAGTTGACAAGGACTTACGCAAACTTGCCTAAAGTAACGCACACGTTCCTCAATGCTCAGTAGTGTTCCTTGCTAGTGGAGAAATAAATATGATGATTTTCTTTTTCGATAATTACATTTTTCTTTTGTTGCTCGTTGTTTAAGCTTGAGTTCAAGAAAACAGTCCTGGATCGAATGATTCATCTCTTGAGCCGAGGATATGTTATACCCGTGATAAGCTACATTAACAGCTGTTTGGAAAAGCAGAACACGGATAACTCACTCATAAGACATTTCGTGACTGAGGTAAATAAAGGTACACTGAACTAAATCGCTAAGGCATGAAATCCTTACCAAATATGGGTGAGTTAAGTTGAAGTAATAACAACAGGTCTGTTCTTTAAAAGGCCTTTATTTATTTTTTTGTTTGTATTGAGAAGATTGCCCAAAACTCGTTGCAATATTTTTTTTTCTCTCACCAGGTTCTAGAAATGATTGCTCCTCCATACTCGACCGAGTTCGTCCAGCTTTTCCTTCCCATCGTCCGTAATGAGGAGATCACAGGGAGGCTGCGCAGTGCTGATCACTCTGATGACGTGTCGTTATTTTTAGGTGAGACGTTGTTATCAATTTTTTTACTCACATAGAAGCAGCCTTAACTTATCGCTGGATTAGAGCATTCTAGCTCAAGTGATCAAGTCTCCGATTAAACGTAAACCAAGGTTTTTAGCCGCGTTTTAAAGAACACTGACAGAAGCATGTCTAGCTGTGGTTTTATGTTATAATTTTTCACCTTCTTTCATAGGTCACTGTGCTCAGCAGGCTTAAGTCTCCGGTTCATTGGTGTCGATATTGTCGTGCAGATAAGAGACGTTGAACCAGCTCTGTCCACTTCACCCGGATTACACTAAAATGCGCTTAGGTTTACACTTAACTAAGCTGACCAGAGAGAGTTAGAGAAAGCTATGCTGTCTTTTGTGTATTTAAAACCAAATAGAAGACGTTAAATTTGTAAATAATAATGATAAAAAACATCAGTGCAAAACAAATGGATGTCTCCCTATCCTTGATTAGGGATTTCGAGAAAAAATTATGAAATAGCATGTATAGACAAAAAATAAAAATTTTATTTAGACAAAATTTGATCATTGTAGTCTTTGAATTGTTTTAGCGTGGAAGCCGGCTGAACCAGAAAATACATCTACAAGGAACTACGACCAAACGTTGGATGGCCAGCGTTTTTAGGAAGGAAGAGAAGTTGGTGTGACATGTGACACAGTGATCTCTTGTCACGCAAGCGATCACAAAAATCGCTTTGACTAATTAAGTTTGATTACATTGTATTCACCCTGTTAAATTTTCTTTTCCACAAAGTCTCTAAACAGGTACGAGGTACCATTTGTATTTTTTTTTTAGCTTGATAGTCCACAGTCTACATGAGTTAAAGTTGACTCGTCTCCCACAGTCTCTTATTTACTTCTTCTTTAATTTACCCCACCTATTTCTATATGGAAAATCTTTTTGGGGGATCTTTCAGATAAACGATCAATAACAAGGTCACACCACAACACCGGGAGCTACGTTCCCTACTCTTTGCGAGAATTGCGCCTCCTGCTGACCAGTACAGAGAGGTTGCACGAGACGGGGCCTTCCGCATGGCAGTCCGTTGCTTTTCAAAATAAGCTTACCAAGCGCTCGTTGTGTTTTGAGGACAGGAGATTGAAGTCGATTCCCGTGAACACCCGCGACCTTCAATGCGACAGACTCCAACTCCCTCTCAACATAAGCAGAAATAGTGATTGGGTACGAACGGGTTTAACTTTTCCGTGGTGGAAACAATTACTGAAACGAACTACATTTCCATGGGTAAGTACTACTTTATTTATTTCGTTAATATTCTGTCATTCCTGGTAACGTGCAGTCCTGTGCGAGGTGAACGCGTTACTTTTTGTGACAACAAATCTGTAAATAAATCAAAGGGAAAGGGTATTGAAAGTTTTTTTATCAGATGCAAAGTTAAGAGTTTCTTTTCAATTTTAACATTTTAGATTTTTGAAGTATGAAATGTTACACGTGTGCTTTTGATTGTTCGATTCTAACCTCATAGCGTACGGAATCCAGTACTAGGCCGTCTACTGTATACAACAAACATATCTCGATATACGATATACGATATGCTCTTTAAGTCTTTACCAAAAAACTAAGATCGATAGGAAATGTCTGCTTATCATTCACATGGATACAACTAGACAACATACCTTCAGCAGAGCTTACATGCTTTCTTACAGTTGGCCTGGACCCAAGAGTGATAACTGCAGTAACTTGTCCAGTTTACACAGTTGGAATGGTTATCCACACACTCTGTTATATACAGAAATTCATATTATCTCCACTGGATTATCATTATAGCCATTTTGAAATAACTGATGGTGTTTTCAATGTTACTGGCTCGTAGCAGCGCAAATCGCACTATTTTTTGCGCTAAATCGAATATATTTCCCGGCCAAAGGGAATGGAACACTGCAATAAAACATATAATTTCATTGGCTCTCAGCAGTGTGAATCATTCATGAATATCACTATTTTAGCTTTAAATCGCATCTTTTCCCAGTGGTGCCTTCATTCACAAACCGGCTACTGGATCCGTACTTTACCAGTAATGGTCCAAATCTCGTAGTTGGTAATAAAATAAAGAAATTTCAAAATGATATAGTAACAAAGTTGCATCTTAAGTATTTTAATCCTTTAACCCCCAGGAGTGACTAGCATCTAACTTCTTACAACATCACCCCTGAATCACACATTAAGGTGAGGAGAAAAAAGGAAATGATCAACTACTAAAGAAGCTCTTGCATGTTAAACAAATTCTCCATCTCGGTATTTTAGGAATTTGATGCATGGAGAATAGAATTGAGAACTCGCCTGCTGATGTTAGGTTGTAAACTATTTTACTTACGTGATCCTCCGTTTGCAGGTTTACCTGCAAGAAAATCATTTAAACCAATAATTACAACAAATAAATGTATCAACTAAAGGTCAGAATACCTCGAGTATTTTAGGAACAGTTTTTATTTATAGGTACTCCAATTTCTGATGCAAGCAGTTGATCTCTACAATATGAACAGAAGAAGCACACCGAAGTATATTGCCGTGTGCTTAAAATATATTGTTACGAATTAAGTAACTGTGACAGATCCAGTAAACTGCAAACTTTAATCCTGCCGGTCAAATTCACATGACAAAGAAAACATGAGTTGAACCTGTGAGGATTTGAAACAAGGATCCTAGGGATTTCGTGGTGCAATCCACAGTGGCTCAGCGCTTGAGCATCACATTGTTAAAGCCGAACATCTGTGGTTCGAATCTTCGTGGTGGAATCAGATCTGATGTCTCCCTCATGTGCGTGTAAATATTAACCTTTAAGAAGAACCTCAGAGGACGGATATTTTTATTTTTAATGCACTTTGTACAAGTATGTCCAATACTACGGCTTGATACAAGTCGTCAAAAGTATTCACGAGTCGTCTAATATATTCACAAGTCGTGTAATGTATTCACGAGTCGTTCGACCCGTACCCCTTACTAAGGAGACTAATAGTTTTTCACTATACACCACTGAGCCCTGATGGTGGTGCGTCGATTCGTACGAGTCGTACGATTCGTCGACCATGAATATTCATTACGGAAACCATGGAAACGAAACGTGCGACTCGTGAATACATCAGACGACTTGTATCAAGCCGTGGTATTGGACAACCCTCACTTTGTATGGACTTGTGTAATAAGTAATATCCTACTGACGTTTGGTGACCAGAGAAGCACATGAAAACTCTTACTGTTCAGTGTACTTCTTACCGTAAAGGAACTGAATAGCGTCGATGTCATCCTTTTATAGTTTCATATTTGGAACATATCTAGTGTAATAGGGATACATGACAGCATTTCTCACATCTGAGTGGTGGATTCCCAGTGAGTGACCAAACTCGTGTACAGCGACCCACAGAAGGTTTGTACCTTGACTGGTACCGTCAGTGAAATTCTCATCCTCGTCAAAATGGGCGCGGCCATTTGATGGAAAGAAAGCATGCGCAAGTACTCCACCTCAGCCGTCAAAGGGATAATAACATGTTCTTTCGGAGTTGCCACCATGAGTCTTACTTCCAAAGCTGAAAAAAGGGCAAGAAAGAGAGAAGTTGGAAAAGTTGTCATAGTTATGTGACAAAGAAAACTTAGCCAACCTATGAGGATCAGTATAAGAGTCTGCTCATCATTTGTCACCTTGAGAGGTAAGAGGACTTTTGCAACATTCTTATCATCCAACCTTCACTGGCAGTCAATTTCTATGGTCCCCCTTTGCACAGTCGAACCTGTATAAAGCGGTCACCCGCGGGGAATGACTTGGTGACTTTTGGGTTCCACAAGTAATGGGTATTTTAAAAACGATACACGACGCTACTTTATGCCAGGACTGACCACTTAATGTACAGAATCTTGCTCAAAGATACTACTTACTTTGATTTTGGGAGAGAAAAATGGATTTTTAATTTCTTGAAAGATTATTGTTGGTTTATGCTTGAGTGTTTCCGCCTTCAGTGACCGTTCAAAACAGGTGGAGGACAATGAAAACATGCCATTGGGACTTAATAAATGGTGACTGCGACCGCTTAGTAGAGGTGACTGCTTGACAGAGGTGAAAATTACAGTGATAAAGGGGAAACAAATTTGGGACTTTGACAACGGACCGCTTAATACAGGAAGACCGCTTATTACGGTTCTGCTTAATACAGGTTCGACTGTACTCTGTCGGCGACGACTGATCTCCTCTCCGTTCCCCCCTGAAAACCATGACATCCTTCCAATAATCCTCCACCCCTACTCCCTCCCTCACAGGCGATTAAAATTGACCAGTTCCTGTAGTGAAAATGAATTTAAAAACAACGTGGAAACCCAAAATATACGAGTTAAAAAATCAGATGCTTTACAACACTAACTGCCTTTCACTAAGAGGTCTGTGGTAACTCAGATTCTAAGCATTTTTTCAAATAATGTAAATACAGGTTGTTTTTTTTCTTTTCCCGTGATGTACGGAAAACGCATGTCCATCATCAAGCATTCTAAAAGGCTGAACGAACAAAGGTGCACATTGTGCTCACCTGATTTTAATATCGGCGCTGCTTGCACTAGAGGCTTGAGAGAAAGACAACCCTGATACATCGGACCAGAACTTTAATGCTTTGGCGAATATTTTGTCTTGAAGATCTTGCGGTAAGTCCGCGCCATGTTCTACAAAATAAGTCAGGTCCTTCTTGCTCCATTTTGAACCAGTCTTGTACCTCTTAACACGTCCCTCCTCGTCCACGTCCGCCATTCCACAACGAGGTTTTTTCATTTGAGCGATGGTTTGTTCGTTCAGCTCTCCAGTCACGGAGAGACCAGTAAACTCCTGAAACCGGCGAATGGCAGTTTCCACGTCATGGTTTCCTGATCTTGTCGAAGAAATGTAGTAGTACTGGCTCAGAAATTTCTGCCAGGAAATAATCATGATAAATGAGATTCACAACAAAAAATGTTCCTTCTTTCGCTCTAATTTGCACGGGGTTGATATAAAGGCCAGCATGGGCTCCGCTTTTAGGCTTCGCTGAATCTATTTAAGTCATTGTTCTTTTCAGGTAAATTACTTTTAAGCATTAGCAGCCAGCGAAATTTTGCACCAGTTTTCTCCATCCTTAACCAGCCAGTATTTTACAAAGTGTTGTTAATTATTTTACGGCGGAGATAAGCTCTGTTTTGGCTTTTGACAATTTTTATTTCCGTTTTCTCGATGGGAGAATTTTGTCTCGTAACTTTTTCATATCACTATTGCAGTTCTAGTAGGTTATAATTAAATGTTGTTGTTGTTGTTGTTTTTTTTTCAAAACAGGTTGCTTTTGGCTTAATATCGTATATGCTTTGACTGTGTAGTTCAGATGACAAGGGTAGCGTAGAGTAGTTCTCATGGAGGCCCAAGAAAGGAAAGTATAACTCACCAAAGCCATGGTTGAGTCATCGTCTTCAGCAAAGACGAGTGTCTGAGAAATAAGGACAGCGACTAACAACAAGGAACACAGCATGTTGAGTTCAAACAAACCGAAAAAAGTCTAAACCGATTTGATTTGGGCGTAGAAGCATAGGTTGTTTCTTTCTTTTATAACAATTCTGCTGAAAAGCTGCAAACCCTGATTAAATTTAACTCAACAGTTGTTTAAAGGAAAAGAAAGACGGTAAACTTTTACAACGCAAGCTTTAGTGTGTGTGAAATAGCTTGACAATTGTGACATTTAAAAGGTGAAAGAATCAATGTAAATTTAAGTGTATTCGTTTTTTTATTTAGCGAATTCAGCCTCGACAGCGGTTTTATTTTTATCACATAAAGTGTGTAAATTTTGAATGGGAAACACAACAGGATTGGCAAAAAGGTTTTTATAATGTGACGATTTAAAAACTTCAAAAGGATCCGAACCCCCCAAAAATGTTCATTTTATTCTACTTTCTCGCGTGAATTCAATTATATCCAATAATTCTTAAACACTGTACAGAATTTTTAGAAAGTCATGTAGGCTTTTTGTTTGTCAATATTTGCTTTTAAGTTATCGGCACGAGTTTTTGTTTATCAACTTCATCTACCAACTGCGGCAAGTGTTCTAAGGTGAGAAAGTTACACTTGTCAACTTGAACAAGGAAGACAAAGAGATCAAAGACACATGGAAATATTCCATGCTTGAGACTATATTTACCATTTCTCTTTATTTTGGTTCATCTACAGAACTAGAAATAGTCAAAATCAGGGGCCACCTTTATGGTTTTGCTGAAATTATTCGTCTGAAAAAGTCGGAGTGCCCGTTTTACCGACAGTATAAAAGGAGATAATTTCAAAGACATGATCAACTAAGTATAACTGCATCTCTTTTGCAAAGAAATAAAAAAGCCAATTTAATTAACCATCGTGTTCAGTGGCTAACATGTGCGAGGTAAGAGGCGAGCTAGATATTGAGAAGGGATAGAAAATATTGAAAATAAAGTGCACGAACTGTACTCCCATCAAGGATAAGGGAAAATATTGATCATAATCTATTGTTTTGCTTCCCTTTGAGCTTGATGCCTTAATGTTGAACCCATTGATTTTAAGAGTGGACATAGCTGTACCGAGTTGAAGTAGACAAGATTCGTTGCCTACCTCTCTGCTCAAGAGCAAATATTACAAGGAACTAGTCAAATAACAAATAAAGCTGGTAAACTCACGTTATCAATAGATCTACCCGCCAGTTTTTTTTATTCAAGCACAATAAGCTAAACCCTAGCGCACCCATTGACTCAATTGAAAGAGCAACAACTGAGTTTGCAATTTTTATTTCCCCTTTATTAAACCTTTCACTTGAATCACATAAAATAATCAAAGTATCTTCTCTTTCATCAGCATCAAATCTGCAACAAAATAGTAAATACTCAGCACGACGTTTTCTATATCTGGAGCTAAAAAATCAAATACGAGGTTAAAAGTTAGGGTCGGGGTTGTGAGGTTGTGCAGAAAAATCGTCAAACTCTTTTACTTCGAGTGCATATGAATCTCAGCCCGACAGAAATTTCCTTTGGGCAACTGAGCCTCATTATTTGGCTGACGCGAGGCATGAAGCTTACTCCAAATGTAATTACGACAAAGATTTATATCAGATTGTCTTAAAAGTACAGCATTGACTACAAAAACGATTTGCTTTCTTTTTCATGACTATAAAATCTCACAGTATGGACAGACTGAGTACAGTTTTTGTGAGCAGTTTGGAAACAACCCTTTTCCAATTTCGCGCTCTATTGTTTTTTTTTCTAAAAAAAGGTCGTCCTTATTCTATGTCGCGAATATATTTGGAATAGTTGCACAATGTTAGGGTGACGCATATGAGTCAAACGGGCGCGTGGTTTTGGTTTAGGTTCACTGGACTTCAGAAGAGACACGAGGTGTGTAAGGCTTATGTGAGGTGTTATTATGCTTATTCTTTTTTTCATTTTCCGTCGAACGATTTTTTTTTAACTTTCTTCAATTTTTTCTCCACCAATCTCCAACGATAAAAAAGATAGGTCGTCGCGCATTCTGAGTAGATATTCTGGACCGATGATAACGGGACTGGTACTAATCACGCGCGTTATTTCATCGAATCACGCCGGTTAATTTGCGGTAGCTGAAAGCAACTTGTTTTTAGACAAAAATTTAAAATATTTTCTAGAATTTGTAACAATTTAGTCAGGTCGTTACTTTGGAGATCATAATTGGCATCTTCGAGTAACAGGCTTCGTGCACGCCTATATCTTTTTTTACCTTCCGATAATTTTTATTTTTCAAGTTTCTTAAGGGGTACAGTTTGTATACCAAGATTATGCAATAAAAAAATAAGTCACCGCGTTCTTCAAGAGCAAAAGACTACCTGTTCACCTCTTCCATTGGTTGAAAAGTAATAATAGGTATCGTGAAATTAAGTGACCGCAAAAATTGGTAATAGTAATGTACCCGATCACAACACACAGCCGCAGTTCTCGATACGCTTCCCCCTAACTTTGCCTCAATACATACTGATTCTTTTCTAAGTGGTCACAGGGCGTTATACAGTGATAAAGATCCCAATGACTGCGTCCAAAGGCAAAAGTCAATGGAGATGCTGACAAACCTTTAGCAACGGCGACAAGTTCTCCTGCAGTAGCGTTGGACGAATGCGTGAAAACGACATGTACCCCCCCGGCTCCATGACCGACATTGGGAACTGGATGCCAAATCGAAACATGCTGCAACATAAAATACACAGAATTTATAAATTTGCATAAAAGAGGAATGATTAACATTTAGGATAAATCACTGACAGTTTATCTGTTGGTATAATAAAGTTATAACGCCTTTTAAGCTCTCTGTTTTATTATTATTATTATCATTTCCTTTTTCAAATTGGCCCTTTAAACCTTTAAGAAAACTGGCGCGAATAAGAGCGATTGCATCTGATTGGTTGAGAATTTGGCGCGAGCTTTCTGGACCAATCACGAAGTATGGCAAAGCGAAGCTAACGCTATCCTGGATTTGTTTCAAGACTCGATTGAAATATGTCTTAATGTATACAGATTTAGGAACGAATATAACAAAAAGAGGTTGAAATGAAGTGCTCACATGAACTGCCTCCACTACTGCTTCCTCCGCTGCTTCCTCCGGTGTTTCTTCCTACAGTGCGCCAAATAAATAAAGATAGGACTGATGCAAAATATGTATCAATTAAGAAAATTTAAGAACTCAAGATTTGCTCGAGGAACGCGAGCAATAGCAGAAAATAAGGTATGACGTTAATAGCCAATGGCTTTCAGCCGTTTTCACACTGACTTAGAATGTTTGTTATATTTACGGTGAAAAAAAGGTTTCTTCGTTTTTCTACGGGCTCTGTGTAAGCGTGAATATGGGAAAATTTGAATTATAGTAGTGAGTTCACTTTTGCTGTCAGCCGTTACTGCAAACATTATATTAAAATTCACCAAGGATATGAAAAAATTTTCCATCTAGTCCAGGGACCGCGCAGAGGGAGGGGCTGGGGGGCTTTAGCCCCCCCCCCCCCCCCACTTTTTTGCAAGAATAAAAATAGATTAAACATAAAATAATTTAACAAAAAAATTTTCCTTCACGCATTCTTCTTTAGCCCCCCCACTCGAAAACTTGCTGCGCGGTCCCTGTAGTCCTGAGTGTATCACATCATTTAACTGAATTAATCAGCAGTTTTTAAGGATGAAAAAAGGCTGATTTTCTACTGATTTTCAAAAAAGCTTAACAAATGCAAATACCAGTTCAATACCACTAATAAAGTAATAAAACTAATAAAGTCAAGTTCATTACTTTGAATGGGAAATCAGGGGGTTCGCGTGGATTGATCTCAGTTTTGCACCTTATGGGTCGAAAAGGTGACGCAAAGTTTCTTCGACCAATCAAACACGGGAAATAAAGCAAAACCAATGAGATTCCGGGATATTATCAACAATAATTCGAAAATTGTTCTATTTGCTACCGAAATAAAACTTACCGTACAAAGACTGAATGGCAGCGATGTCGTCCTGTTTAAGCTGCATGTTCGGCACATACCCAGTATAGTAGGGATACATGACAGCATCTCTAACAGATGAATGCTGGATTCCAAGGGCGTGTCCGAATTCGTGTACAGCCACCCACAGAAGATTTGTTCCTCGGCTGGTGCCGTCAGTGAAAGTTTCGTCCTCGTCGAAATGAGCGCGTCCATCAGAAGGGTAGAATGCATGCGCTAATGTTCCGCTCGCCCCATCAAATGGATAACCACATTGGTTCTCACTAACTCCTCCGTGTGCTCGGCTTCCAAAGCTATGTGAAGAAAGATAAGTGAGTGAAATTTAAATAGTTTATAAAGAGGCGTACATTTTTTTAATCTAACTTTAATTTGACCCGCCTCCAACATTTTTGGCGTCATGGCTCATTTTGTTCCATGGAGTATCGAGCTAGCATTGCGAGGTTACAAGTTTCAGTCTTGGATGATTCTTTTTGAAAGTTTTCAAGTACCTAATAGTACTCCTGGATGGAGAAGGGCACTGTCTTGCCCGGGAACAAGATGAAATGACTGCGCTAAAATGATTTGGCTCGAACCCAGATCTCTCGATCCATTTCAAGGGCCAGTGAGCTTTTCAACTTACAAGGAAATGCTAACTGCATTAGAATAAAGGTAAAACATACTTACCTGATTTTAAGGTCCGCGGTACTTGCGCTTCTTGTCGTAGAGAAAGACAAACCTGACACGTCAGACCAGAACTTTAAAGCCTTCTCGAACACATCGTCTTGTTTTGAACGAGATAAATCAGCTCCATATTCCACAAAGTACGTCAAGTGTCTTTTGTTCCATCTGCCAGATGTACTGTATCTCTTCACTCGACCTTGTTTACCCATAGGATCTGGCATTCCGCAGCGTGGTGCTTTCATCTGCGCAAGCGTTAGTTCATCCAACTTGCCAGTCACAGGGAGACCAGTGAACTCTTGGAACTTTTTAATGGCAACCACCAAGTCGTGGTTTCCCGCGCGCGTTGGAGATAAGTACTGATAGTGGTTCAAAAAGTTCTGAAGGAAAATGAGAAACATACCGAAAACAGCAGCGATTAATTGACGAAAACTGGTGTTTTAGACAAGTGCTCTATTGACGCTATACTCCCACAGTTCTTAGCGAAGAGTAGACGTCAGGGAAAGTTGATGAAATACTGGAGGAATAGGCTAAACGGACATAAAGAGCACTTGTGGACCTGTAGAATAGCAATTTACTCCTAAACGCTTGTTACTGAAGCAACTAAGCTGAGCTCACGAGGAAAGGGCGACTTAGCTCAAGAGCAGAATTAAAGTAATTTCAAACAGAAAAATAGGCTATGAATTTGAAAATCTCCTTAGTCGTTCACAATAAATAAACTCAGAGGAACTTTGTCAAGGTTGCCTTTTTAAATAAGAAAGCCTAAATGAGCTTAAAAGTGAGTAATGAATATCAAAATGTTTTGACAACGAAGTGAAAACTATTAGAGAAGGCAATATCAGAAAGAAATTCTAAACGTAACATACCAGAGCAAAACTTTGGTCATCGACATAGCGAGCAAACGCATGCGATGTAAGAGCAAGCAACAGCACGGAACACAGCATGTTGAGACAGAGTTATATTACACCAACTAAAACGCCTTTAGTTTGGTATCTAGTGAAAAAACTCACGGAACTAAGTTTATTTATAACTCGGTATTTACACAGTCTCTGCTCTTTGAGTTTACCTCTGTTTCGAATTCATATTTGTAAAGCTTCGAACCATCTGACAGCTGAAAATTGATCATCCAAAGAGTTTTACTCGGAAGATTTTATTAAATCTTTTCTATTTGTTATCAAGTTTATTCGAAATGCGCTCACTTATATTAAATTCTCTGCGTTTTAATTTTCACTTTGCCACCCGACCTCTCTGTCTTGAAGAATATGAAACTGCAGCTTTCGAGAGGTAAATAGAAACTGGAGATAAAGCTGTAACTAAATGCTGCTATATAATGAGCTCACTTTTACACTTGCTATTACACTTTTTACTAGTGCTTTCTTTTATCATGTCCCACGTCAAATTTTGCTAGCCTAAATTGCAGTTCCTGAATAAAGACACGTGGTTTCATATCGTGACAGAAGGTAAAGATGTCTGCTGCGTGTGATTCAGTTTATGGTTATCTTTTTCTCCTTTTAACGATAACTAATTTTACAGATCGAGGACAAAAAAATTATAACTTACAAACATTCAATACTACACGGTATGTTTTGGGTTATATAAACCAGGAAAGGCCAGTGTAATAAATGTCTCTCTATAATCATTTTTCCTGAAAAAACATCATTGTTTCCTCGGCATTTCTATTTTTCTAACTGTATAAACTTATAATTTCCAGCCTGATTCATTTGCGTATTACAATTTATTACCTGTTTGAAATGTTAGCTCAGGCTATTTTCCATGAATTTCTGTCGAAATCGTAATGAGATTTTCAATTAACAGAACTTTTTCTTGTTCTCTGACGAAAAATTGCTTGAAATTATTTAAAAATATGCTTTATGAGTGAAAAGGCTACTTTTAGCTATTTGTTTTAAAACTGTATTTGCATTTATTCTTCTTTACTTAGAATTATCTGCCTCAAAAATTTGAGGTTGACTAAGTATTGGAGCACAAAATTCCTGACTTTCTCTGTGCGACTTTCCATCTCACTTGTTTGTTGGCATTTGAATGCCGTCTCAACTGCAAGATGGATTATTGTCTAAGGATTGACTGAAATTTTTAATTAAAGTAATTCCAGTTTCCGTGCTGCACCGTGCAAGGAATTGAAGGGTAATAAGTAAAGTCTACTATGGTCAATTTTGCAGCAATATAGTGTTTTGGTGGGGAGAGTGCCAGGGGAAAAAAACCGTTAGGGTATTATTATGAAACTTCACTTAATCACTAATGACCGAGATCCGAGATCCGAGATCCGAGATCCGTGCGACAGTCACAGATCAGATTTAGACCAGAAAAAATGTGCTAAGAACAGTAATGACCCATTCATTTACGGCTTTCTCTTACTATTTGACGTCTGTGATCCACAAATGAACAGTCACAGGGAAAAATAGAGCCCATTTATTAAAAAAAATGTCATTCAGTTAGATTCATATTAGATTTTAATTGACCGTTTTACCTGCTAATGTACAACTCTTTGTCTCTCGGCCCTTCGAAATATCAGAGCGGTTTATGTTGTGGCTCAATAACTTCCTGAAGCAAAAAATCTTTTTGTATTCCTGTCGAAATGTTCGATTTAAGGCTCCATAAATGATTGGGTTAACAGAGGAACTTGTTAGTCCCATATCAGTGTACATGACATAAACCACACGCGGAAGGGACCATTTTCCGACCCCCATTTCCACAAAATCGATTATTAAAACGGGCGTCCAGCAAAATACATATGCAAGAACAGTTGCAAATAATGTCTTGGTCAGTTTAGCATCATCAGAAGATATGCTATTGTCATGTGCACGCCAACTTTGTATGCGGTTTGCATTTGCTCTTAATTGTCGAAAAATGTTGAAATAGCAAAACAAAAGAACAGAAATGGAGATGAAGAGACAGATATAAACAAAGTCAGACACAAACGACATCTTTGCTTCATGGAAACAGAAAAATTTTCCCGGATGGAAAATGTATTTTCTACCGCTAACGAGATAAGGGACTGGATACATCATGGCTAGAAACCAGACAGCTGCGGCCATGAGCCGTGCGCGTGGCATGGAGAAGAGAGTTCGGTGCTTCATCGGACGAACAACACGATAGTATCGATCAAGAGACATTAATGCCATGGTCTGTAGAGAAGCTGCTGTTGTTGTTATAACAACATAACCTTGAAATTGACATGTTGCAAAGCCTGAAGTCCATCTGCCATGAATGAGTGAGAGTAAAGACGGCGAAGTCGTGAAGGAAATGATAGCAACATCTGACAGAGCTAGTGAAGCAATTAACATCCCCGGCACGTTCTTAAGTCTAACAGATTTGTACACAATATATAGAACAAGGAGATTTCCGACAAAAGAAGTAGAACAAATCAAACTGTAGATCAACGATTCTAGAACGACTTGAAATGTCCCACGAGAACTGAAAGATTCCGATAAGCGATCAGCATGGCTGTCTTCAGCAGACTTCCCGGAGATATTCATTTTGGATTTCTGAAAAAAATAATTGCGATTTAAAATCATATTTCAGGGGTTTTTTGATGAGCTTATTCTAATAATTGAAGAAGATCACAGAACCTTCTAGATTTTTTTCTGGCTTTTAGTTAAACACATTGAGCAAAACCTTTCGTCCTGTCCCAGCCGTAGGCAAATAAAGAAATAATTTTTTTGAGTTACCTTTAACTTATAAGAACAAGTCTCCATTAAAAAGCTCTCTTGTGTAAACAGTAAAAAAAGTCGTTAAAATGAAACGCATTTATGATAATCAGAAAATGACTCTTATGAGTATTTTAAAACTTTTTATGGTTACATTGAAACTTTATTAGGAAAAAATGCTTCCAATGTCCAATAAATAAAAATCGAGAGAGAGAGCGAAAAAAAAAGAATTTCTGAAAAACAGCAATCCTGCAATCAATTATCCCACGCAACAATTTTGAGTGAACCCGATAGGAAAGGCGTTGGGAAATTTGAACAATCTGAAAACACGACACCATGTCATGAAAACTTGTCAAGAATGATGTTTTTCATGATGACTTGACAAACACAGGAAGTTGTCAAGCACTTTATAATGGAAAATGTCTCCTTCATATGTCAATTTTTTTTCAGGATGACCGTCAGGCTAGAAAATATTTCGCTTTGTTGTTATGAAGTAGACTCAACAGGATGGCTCCTTTCTTTTCATCTACCATGTAAATTCAGGAAGGCCCCCTTTTACAATCCTTGCCAGAGTGTTCTCGTAAGGGGCGTTGGGTTGGGAGTGGACCTGTATGAAGGGTGGGTTTCCAAATCACATCAAGAATTTCGGTATTGAAGGGGGTATCAATAAATCTGGAATCCAGTGGGGATTTTTGAAACTCTGAAATGAAATTAATATCTCGAAAACAACCAAAGTTCCAAGAAATAATAGCCAGTCCGGAAAATAGTTAGGGTTTGTTTATAGGCATCTTGTTAAAACATGAATAGAAATGGGTTATTCACTGAACGGTTTTCACCCTGCAATTAAAACAATGTGTTTTCGCATATGGATGCCGCCTAACCTGGAAACATTAAATTATTCATAACTGTGGCGATGATTTTTGGAGGTAACTGACTATGAATACATTACACTTAAAGTAACATTTACCGAACTTAGTGGGTTCCACCAGAATATTAACTCTCCGAGAAGGCCGTTCATTATTTAGGACACAACATTACACCTCTCCTGTACAGCTGATATGATTTACAAAAAAATCCTTACTATTATAGTATTTACAGCAGAAAGACAACAACTTAGGAGGGATGGTTTTTTTTTCCGACGGTAGGTTTACAACAAGTTAGTCATCACGATTCGATTCTTTTATTCTCATTAACTTCCTAATAAAGAAAAGCAATCTGATTGTCACAAATGAACGTTATCATTTCCTCTGATAGATACCATCTGGTCCTCTAGCAAAATGATCCAACAAAATCAATGGGACCCAGCCGGTGTTCCAAGGATCTCTCAAACTTCAACTTGGAAAGAATAATAACCTATGTCATCCTTAATTATTACAAATAGATAAAAAAAGCCGAATTTCTGTAAGACCTCTATGGCGTAGTGATTGTATAAAATCAAAGAGACCGAGCTGATATTCTCAAAGGGCTAACTGAATCCTTATCACGAGGTTTTTTTAAAACAACTTATTATGCTGCGAGTCAGTTAGGATACTTACGCTTTCATATTCTGTTCAATGACAAATGAAAGCGACGACTTCTTTCTCGATATCACGGTTTCTTTTTCTAGCTGAAATGGGGATGGATCTTGTTTCAGTTCATCGCTTTGACTCGACTTGGCAAATAAAACTTGCAAGGTGAAAAGCGTCCCTTTGTCTTGCGCACGTACAGATGTGATTTCAATGCTTTTTTTCCTCTATTGAGAGAAAAGAGATCATTTAATCTAGAAAAAAGCCAACCTGATTGGTTTAAACGTGAAGGTGAATATGCAATATGTACGGGCAGAAGAGAAAACGAATAACGGTGATTGTGATTTTTCCCGCACGAATTATTGAGACTCCATGCGATTGGCACAGGTGATTAAGACAAGTTAATTAAGGGGATATGTGAATGGCATAAGACTAACATAAGAACTGACAGTTTAGAAATGGCCGATGTACGTGGAGATATTCAAGAATACATTCAAGGGCTCACTTTCCAATTTTAATTTTGCTTGTGTAAACAAAGTGGATTTAAATCTAAAGACAATCTAAGTGTTAGTGTAACTCGAGCGTAAATGCAATGACAGATGATGTTCCGATTGTTCTGGAAACGTTTCTTGTCAGTTTTTACAGAGGAGAGGGTGATCTAAGATACACGCGCACAATTTATGCATGATACCTTTCAGGTAACAAGTTTATCACTTGAGTATTTATTAGGCGGTTTTAACTATGAAATTAAAGCAACTTGTTTTCGCCTATAGAAACTGCCTTACCTGTCATTTTTTGAATTGTTCAAATTTACGACGATGATATATTTTTGTTTTTCTTGTTGTTTTGCTTTTTTGAGCCACGCATCCATTGCATTTAACCCGGTGTATTCCGCCAGAATATTAACTCTTACAGCAGGCTGGTTATTGTTTGCGACATAACATTACGTTTTTTTTGTGAACTGACACGAACTACAATAAACTTGACCTGCATGGATAGTTTATTTTTAGCGACTCAATTACAGAAAGTTATAAATACGTAGTTTTTCTTTTCTGCCAATGGGTCTAAAATCCATCGAAATCGAAATTCGATTCGTTTACCATCATTGCCTTTTTGAGAAAAAAGGCATCTCGATTATCCGATGAAAACTTTAAAGCAGATGCCATCTGTTCTTATGACTCTCTTATGGCGGAATGGCCCTTAGCATTTCTCAAGCTCCATATTCTAAGGAATAGATATCTTCTTTCTTGGTCATTTATTGAACAAACAAACAAACAAATGGAAATAATTCTCCTTTTTAAAAGACCTTACCGCTCAAGAGGCTTAATCGACTTTCATGGCGTACTTATGCTATAAAATCAAAGAGACCTATCCGAAACTTTAGAATTTTCGCGAAAGGCCACCTAGATCTTTATGTAAGTTATCGTAAGAGTCTGTATACTTATGATCATATGTTCGAGTCAAAAAGATACCGTCTTCTCCTCAACATCACGGGGTTTTTTCGGTTTAATTGGTGAAAGAAGATGCTTCAGTCTTTTAACTTGGCACGCGAAACTCAGGTTTTCCTTCCTCTATATTCTCGGTTGTGTTGGTATATCAGCTTTATTATAGAGGGTCAGCTGGGAGAAGCAGTGGTTAAAGTCTCGGTCAGTTCAGTTTGTCACGTTGGGAAATATTTTTTCCCACAGTACCTCGTTCCAATCAAGTCATGGTTGCGGCAAACCGTAAGTAAATGTGACGAAATTTTAAGAGGGTAAAATTGCAATAGAGTGGCATCGCATCCAGAAAAACATGAAACAACTCCCGAAAGACTGACACTAATGCTCGTGACTAAGCAGCATAGCAACTCTACCACAGAGGGTATCAAAGGATAAAATAAAAATTAAATATTTGCGCCATTTTTCCAGCCCAATCCTAAGAAGGAGCGCATATGAGCGGGAAAAGGAAAGACACTCTTTGTTTATTTTAAATTCTAGGTTTTCCAAGCTCTCTTATTGAGGTTACCTTCATTGACTCGGAGCAGAACGCGAAAACAGAGACAAATTGAACTGCAATTAGGGCTCACATTTGTATTACAAGAATTTTCACTTTTTTGCATAACTGTTGAGTCGATAGTATACTGGGTAAATATGGAACCAAAATTGTTCCGTTTTAATTCAAGAGAACGAATCAGGTTCACCTCGTATGTTACCTAGAAACCAGCAAGAAATAACGTAAAATGGCACACATGAAACAATCACCTTTATTCCTGCCTAACCTTAGCTACACTGAACTGTTGGTTGCTTTGTTAATCTTCCAAAAAAATGCAACTATCATTTCTCTTCACTTATAGCTTCCCTGTCAATGACAAATGTTTCAGTCCAGCCACGGCCGACTGAAATCCAGCATTGTAATCCGTGGCCACCTCATTCTTGATAAAATCTGTTCTGTCATCTTTGTACTCGTCATTCTTACCCGGGCCTCCAACTAAAGCACCGTACAAAATTTGCGGGTTGGGGTCTGGCTTGTTAAAGTCATTCCAACTGCAAGGGACGGGAGACAATGGGCAAGAACTGCTGCGATGGTGAGGCCTTTCTGGTGGGTTGGTACCGAACCCTACCACAAAACTGCGGTCGCTATCACCCAACATGTAGTGAATTTGTTGCTTTGCGAAGTTGCGGAACGCAGTCGGTCTTATTCCATGGTCAGCGGCGACAAGAGCCAAAAAGGCAGTGTTGGCCGAGTAGCGGTTTGGACCCCACTGATCACGCCAGGCGAGGCCTTTTGGAGTGTAGTGGACTTCGTGTCCGGGAAGCCAACTCGTTATAAAAGTATCCACAGCTTGTTTGTACGAAGCTTTGTTTGTGATTGCAGCCAAGAGGACCTGAACGCCGCCTTTTTTGTCATCCCATGAAAACGCCCAAGGTTTTCCATTCATGGCAAAATCATTGTAGTACTGTTCGGCCTTAGAGAGATACTTTTGATCTTGGGTAGCTCTGAGGAGGAAAAAAGAGCTGTGCTAAACTGATTTCGAAAGACATGTTAACCAACGCGTTCGCATTTCATTGCAATAGCCAACTTCTTCACAAACTCCCTAGAATAAAATCCTATGACGCTCAATATAACATACGCCTGGTAATATTAGGAGCGAACAAATCGACTATCAAGGCTCCATTTGTCTCTATAATTGTAAAGAAACGAAAGGCAGTATATGTTCGTTCTTACTAACAGTAGTCTTAAGCAGTCCGTTTGGACTGTCATTAATCGAACATAGAGAGAGGACAAGAGGACAAGGCTCAAGCTTTTGGTTGTGTTTGGCAATCAAATGGCCATCAAATGTCTCAAATCAATCAATTTGATTTCGGCGAACAAGAGCTCTTCTCAATCAATAAAAGTATTTTATTGATACATATATGTGGTTTACCAGTGACTCAATTAGACAATTTGCCCAGCTGTTGGCAAAAATAAGCCAACAATGTTTATAATGTATCTCTCACTTACGGATCAACTCCTGCTATAGTTGTTAAAAAAGACACAATCTCACAAATGATCAAGGTTCCTTACTTGTACAGCCAAGCTGCACCCCAGACGAGTTCGTCTTTATATCCACTGTGCGAGCGGTAAAAGCTGGCTGCATTAGGAATGGAATCACTATACAGCCCACGGTTTTTATCTGCAAAGTCATAAAGTTCAGCAGCGTGTTGAAGAAGTCTCATTGAATAGCTGATGTCTGTGGATCGGAAAGCGATTGAAGCCGCAGCAAGGGCTGCAGCTGTCTCAGCGGCCAGGTCTGATCCTGGTTTCTGAGGAGTGATCTTCCAGGCTGGTCTTCTCATGGTCATGTCCTCTGGTCTGCCCCAGTAACCATGATCAGCATTGCCATCACCAACCTTTTAGACAATTGGTCAAATGATAAGACAAGGCTTGAGATTAGTTTCCAGGAAAACTTACCGTAAGTTGGTTAAAATGGTTAGTTTTTTACAATTATCATGGGCATCACTTGGATACTAAGTAAATAATCAGTACCTGCCCGGTCTTACCTGTCCATAGAACTCATCTTGTTTCGTGTGTGCTTTCATAAAATAGTCCAAGGGCCACTTAATGGAGTCCAGCATGTAGCTCAACTCTCCAGCATCTTCATAAGCATCTCTATACTCCACTAAGCCCCAAGACAACATAGTAACACTAAACGCCATCGGGAACCCAAACTTTACGTGATCTCCTGCATCATACCAGCCACCAGTCAGGTCCTCGCCATTATCACCGCGGTCACCGAGTGCTGAGTCTTTCCGCCAGGGAACTCGGTTGGAGGAAGGAAGTTTACCTGATCGTTGAGCTTCGTAAAACAAAATGGAATCGTGAAGTACTGCGTCATAATCAAATGGTGGGGGAGCACTGCTGGGTTTATTCGTGGTGGGTAGCTCAGTTGGCTGTTCTGTGGTGGTTGAAGGTACTTTCGTAGATGGTGACTCTGTGGTAGCTAGTGGTCTTTCGGTGGTTACTTCTTTAGTGGTTGGTAATTCGGTGGCAGTTGGTGGCTCTGTGACAGTTGTTGGTAAGTTGGTAGTTGGGGGTTCTGTGGTTGCTGGAGGCTCGGTGATAGTTGTTGGTCCGTTGGTAGCCGGTTGCTCTGTGGTATCTGGCTCTTTAGTGGTTGGTGGCTCTGTGACAGTTGTTGGTCCATTGGTAGTTGTTGGTTCTATGGTAGTTGGTGGCTCTGTGGCTGTCACTGGCTCTTTGGTTGTTGGTTTGGTGCTAGTTGGTGGTTCTGTGCCAGTAGGTGGTTCTGCGGTAACTGGTGGCATTGATGTCCCTGGTTCCTCTGTGGTGGTTGGTGGTTGGGTAGTACTAAAAGTACATCCTCCCTCACCTCCTCCAATCCAGCTCTCTTTCCGGCGAAACTCAATCGTGGCTTCACTCGGCGGGTCAGAATTCATTTGTTTCCTTCCAATAATGATCATCTCAAGCCTTGAACATTTATCAAGATTGGCGTTATAGGGTCTGTTTTCCAGGATGTATACCTTGCGATCACTGGATCGCCATTTCTTGAACGCTTTTGGCGTTTGAAGCGCCCTCACAGCAATGGGGAATGTAAGTGTCATCTCCCAGCCTCCCTCGACCTTCTGCTGCATAAGAATACTAATTTTCATTTTAAATCCATTCGGCCATTCTTCAATCAATCTTGCAATGGACTTTTCTTGAACTGGGGGAGTCGCCCCCGGTGGGATTACTGTTGGGAATGGGGACATGTCGCATTTGGCGTTTCTTCCCGGGTGAAATTCTAGAGTTGCGGAAGGAGCAGCTTCATTGTTTTTCGCCTTTTCCCCAATAAACTCCATTTCCAATTTAGATCCAGCCTTGAGATTCCCATTGTACTGCTGATTCCTTAAACAGAAAACGCTATTACCCTGAGCAGAAGACAACCGACGAGCATTGGGAGCTTGAAGCTGCCCTATCGGCTTTGAAAACTTGAGTGACATCTTCCACCCTCCTGTTACACTCTGAGACATAATATGGCTAATCTTCATTTTGAAACCACTGGGCCAGTTATCTACTAGTTTGATATTTATTTCCTCACTGTATCCCAAAGAGACGAGACACAGAAGCAATAAGAATTCATTCATTTGGACCTGGGATGTGAAGAAAAGAATTGAGTTTAATTTCTTCATTAACGCCTGATGTAAGTCCTTGCTGCTTGTTCTTTGATTCGCGAGAGTCGAATTTTCTTGTTTTTTTTTTTTAATTATTTTTAAGAATAACTATAATAATGATAGAAATATTATTTATAAAAATTTTACATATGACAATGATAATGATAAAAGTAGTAATATTGATTAATATTTTTATTTGAAGAGATGTTGAGGAAGCCAAAAAATGCATTGGTAAAAAATTCAGCACTGTCGTAAGTGTCAAATACAATTTTAAACCTCGATGGAATTTTATTCGTTTCTCCTTCACTGGTGCGTCTCTCTCGTAAAGCTAGAGGGTGCTTTTGAGGAGAAAACAAGTTTTCTGTTGCGTTCAACAACATTGGAAATAACAAACCGAGTATGTGGTAACAATTTTCCTGCAATCAGGTGGGCCAGATTCTTAAATGTCCACACAAATTAAAAATAAAAAATAAATAAAAATTTTACCGATTGTTTGCTTTTTCTTCCTAGTCTAGCATATTCAGTTTTAGCTGCACATTTACTCCTCAGTCATGCTTGATTTATCGTTTAAAAGAGGGATGTTTTCTCGCTTTATAACGATGTTGTCCGAATTGCAAAGAATGTCTATTCAAAAGCCTTATTTTTAGGAATTTTTCCAACAACCTGATTATAGTAGAAATTACAGTTGCTAAAGTCGCTTTGCCAATAGCTCTTTTTCATCTACGAATGTCGGATAAGTTACTGTTATAGAAAGTGGAAACTTTGAGCCGATTTTTCAAATGGTTTTTGGAACTTACCTTCTGAGGGGAATCTTCAATCCAACTTTAGAAGTGCTTAAAATGGCGAATATTATCCGCGAGTGTAGTCTTCGGGGTTAGATACGGAAATATTCTTAATATCCAGGATTGTTTAAACAGGTAGTACTTGTATTGATTCAAGAAACAATGAGTCTTTTGAACATACTCTAATGGCTGATCAATTGACGCAGGCGACTGTATCAATTTCGTCATAAATCCGCCTTTGAATCTTTTCTGTAAACAGACTGAGTTAGGGCCTGTATTGTGCAAAAAAATTCATTCTTCTCGAAGCTTTAATCGACCTCGACAGCTGTCCACAGAAAACAATAAGCTAAACGAGATGTTGTCTTTACTAACATTTTCGTCAGGTTCACACATTCTATAAAGAGTAAAACACTGAAGTTCGTCTATGAATAATTTTCAAAGGTAAAATAACAAAATGTTCGTATTGTTTCGCTACCCTGGATGCGTGTCAGGCATGGATGAAGCTCATTTTCCAAGTTGTTTCTGTAGCTCGATAATTGAGCACCTAGTTTGATCTTGTGCTCATGATTTTGTGGAGTTTGACAACATTTTGACAACAAGCGAACCGAACAGCTTGGAATGATAACGTCTATTTTCAACTGAAGTGGTGTTTTTTTTGGAAGAGTTAAACTTATTGCGATAACCTCCTTTAAGCTGTCGATTTTTTTTCATCGATTTTCTCTTCTACTGCTCATGTTTCATTTGTGCCAGTTATAATACTAATACTCACTCGACTTGTTACGAATCTGTAGCGGGTGACAAAATTTCAGGATTCATTGTTTACATTTCTTTGCCTCTTTTGGAAGGTTTCAAGTGTTCCTATTTTAATTAGGACATCAAAATTGTAGTTTATCACGAGGGAAGCAACTCAACAAAGTTTTTACCCAGGATACAAATGAATACAACAGTGACTTGTTACACTCTGTTCTGTAATTAATGCATCTAAAAGAAATATGTCCCCGTTAAAATTCCTAAGAAAACGGCTGTCAGCTGAAGAACTTGGTGTCAATTGGCTTCTTCTTGTGAATCTTCTTTCAAATTAATGTTTACTAACCAATGACACGTCTCGCGAGTGCTGTGAAATTATACTCTTTATTTGGTCTGAGTGCGTAGTTGAGGTGGTCCTAAAAACCAGAAAGCAATTGAAGAACAAAGTTTACATGAGATGAACTGTTAACAGCTGACCTTCCTTCGATATGGAAAGACAGCTTTGGTGGAAGAGAGAATTGGACAATAAGAGATTGAGACGAAACTATTTGTGTCCTGTTTACGATCTCAACCCAGCGCCCTCTCGTTTAAACGTTCGCTTCCCCTTCCCCGATCCCCCTCCCTCATGTTCATCCAACGAAAAAAAAATTTAGGTTAGTTAGTTTTATGTGGCAGAGTTCAAACCTGCTGAAGGATCTGCATTTTCAATCATATCTCCTTAAGTGATTATCGAAGCACAAATGCGATCAAAAACTCCAAACAATTTAGTAAAGAATACGTACGGTACTAGCTCGGAGAGAGTTTTGAGCTTCGATATCATTGCAAAAAAATTGTACGACGTCTAACTAACTAACTGGAAGCAGCAGCCAGGTCGAATCGCACCAAGGACTTACCTACAAAAGGTTATGACAAAGTTTTACACCAACACTTAAAAACATTAAAAAATAACACGGATACAGGGCTCGAATTAAGTTGAAATTTTTCATTGTTCTCTGCTAAGAATAAAATGTTTAAGTTCAGTGATAGCTAATTGGAATCCAGCATTGAACTCTTTGGCCAGACACGAAGTCCACTACACTCCAAAAGGCCTCGCCTGACGTGATCAGTAGGGTCCAAATCGCTACTCGGCCAACGTTGCCTTCTTGGTCTAAGCTGCCGCTGACCATGGAATAAAACCGACTGCGTTCCGCGACTTCGCAAAGCAACAAATTCACTACATGTTGGGTGACAGTGGACGCAGTTTCGTGGTAGGATTTGGAACCAATCTACAAAAAAGGCTCATCACCGTAATAGTTCTTTCCCATTGTCTCTAGTCATTTGAGACTAAACAGCCCCCAAACAAATCTGCAGTCCCTGAAGGGTGCGTATGTTAGAGGCCTGGGTATGAACGATGAGTCTAAGGATAGCAGAAAGGACTTTTCTAAGAACAGGGTAGCTTGTTTGTATGATGCTTTATTTGAGATTGTAGCCAAGAGGACCTGAACGCTGGCTTTCTTGTCTCCATGTAAATGCCCAAGTTTTCAATTTATGGAATAGGCTGTGCAGTATTGTTCAACTTTAGAGAGATAATTTTGATCTTGCGTTGCGTGGCCTTTGAGAGACAAGACGGAGTCATATTGGACTTGTGTGGCCCTTGAGAGACAAGACAGAGTTGTGTTGAACTTGTGTGGCCCTTGAGAGACAAGACAGAGTTATATTGAACTTGTGTGGCCCTTCAGAAACAAAACGGAGTTGTATTAAACGTTAGTGCATTGTAGTTTTGCATCGACCTATTCATCGTGTACCCTCCCCTCGCTGTTTGTTCGTACCTCAGTTGATATTATCAGTTGAAATTTTATAAAAGTTTATTAAAGTTCACATGGCAACCAGCTGGACAATCAGACATGGTTTGATGCTGCTCTGGTTTCAAGATTTAATTGACGTAACCGAGAAGTTACAATTCATAGACCCAACGCTTCGACACACCTGTATAGTGCCTTCATCAGGGGTTATCTAAACGCTGCAACAAGAGGTCCTCTTATACGCTCACTAATTATCTACCCTTTTTCATGACGAGGTGTAAATAGGCGTCATGGAGTAAGCCGCCATGGTCGCGAGTTAAAGGAGCGTGGGTGGAATTGATATGCCAGGCTACCAAACAGTAAACAGAGGGGAACAAGGGAATTTTTCATTTTGAAACCATTGGGCCGATTTTTCACCAATTTGATATTTATCCTCACACTGTTTCCAAGCAAAGCAAGACACAGTAGCAAAAGTAACATCTTTATCTGACAGAAATGTGTTCCCTGTGCAAGGAATTTTTTCCAGGTTTGAAAAGAATTAAAAAAAAATCTAAAATGAGAATTGAAAACCTAGGGATTGTCATCCTCTCTGGTTTAAACTTATTTTAAGACTGCATTTTTCTGTAAGCCTTCATTGGGTATACCATTTTGTTGGCCAAATATGGCAGTTTATATGATACAATCATGTCTTTAAGAAAGGAGAAAATTTACCTAATTTTATGGACAGTCAGAATTCTTCAAAGGCAATTTCCCCGAAATCAAACAGTGTTTTCAATACCAGACACCGTTTAAACAGCCGAACGAAACAATGGCTCACTAACAATGATTATTTTGAACTGTGAAAATTGTCAAACAGTGACGCAGACATCTGCAACGTCCTGCTACTGGGTTAGTTTTCTTTATTCAGCTCTGTAAATATTGAAGAAGTTTAAGCATCAAAACTGAACATTGTAGTGTTATAGGCGGATTAAAAGCATAAATGGTTAGCACTGTTTTTTATTTATCTTGGTTTCAAGGTTGATTATTGGCTTTCAAAAAAAGACACCGAGGCATTATTTTTAAAATGAAAAATTAATCTAAAAACAATATTAAAATCTTCAATTTTTCCGCCTTGTACTCCTGTACCTCTTGAGCCGCTTCATGTAATTTATTAGGCATGCGCAGTTGATCCCTAGTGCCCTAGTAGCATGTAGTGGTATTGATCATCAAATCATTGTGATACTGTGATTGCTCCGATTGGTCAGCAACTTATCATGTATTGTATCAAAAAACGAATAGAAACTGGATTATTTTGAATTCATTTACGGCGTAAGCACGGCGCTCCTGTTGTTGTGTTTTTTGATCGTGGGCATCCACGCCAAAATAAACTGCTGATGAAACAGAAGAAAACAAATAAAAACATGCTTCGAAAGTTCTTCTGTCATCTTCAATTCTGAATAATACAAAGTACAAAGTTGAATTTAAAGTGTGTTACAAAATGCTGATTGGACAAATACAATTTTGGCTTTTAAATCTCGAATCAAGTGAAAATACGGCTATACAAAAAACATTGTTTGTATAATTTCGTTAAATGCTAGGAAACTAAACTTTGGAAAACAAATTTACAAAGGTACTCACATATCAGTCCCGCTTGTGCCAAAGGTTTAAGAAAACGAAAGGACGAAATTTCACCAAGGCCATACTCATAAACTTACGAAGAACTGATTACAGGGACGCTAAACTCGCTTTTCACATGCGCGTGGTGACGCTGAAAGGTCCGATTACAAAACCAGTAGAAACATAGACAAACGGATGAACATTGTAACTATGTTCGTAATCAATTTACTAAAAGTGAGCCTTCTGGGTAGTGTCCTTAACATATGTTTACGTGGTCAAACTTACTTTAGATACCCATTCACAAATCAACTTCCTTTTCCCTCGTCCTCGTATAACTTAATAAGTCAAAAATTCCAAAATCTTTCTTTTCCTCTATCGTTCATCTTCTGCGTCTTGACAGAAAATTGCAAAACTACAATTTTTCACTTCATCTAGTCTCCTTTATTGAATTAGTGCAATCCCCTCGGCGCGGGCGGTGAACCACTTAGAATGTAATCTGGGTACGAGTTAGCATTCGGTCAGCTGACTGGTCAGCTGTCATTTGCCAAAATGATATCCCATAATGATAAGCACGCGGGAGTACGGATTCGTGTAGTTTCCTTTGGTAGTATTCTGTAAATTCTTTTCTTTTCTCTATGGTTTGACCATTTAAGAAGTGTTCCTTTCCTTCCTGGATGATCAGAGGAAGGGGAGAAGCCAAAAATTTTGAGGTTGCTCTGAAATAAGGTAAATATTGTCTTAGTTTCGAATGGCGCGTGGTATCTGGAACTAATTCAAGAACGACAATCGAGCGAGTTATCTTATGGAGTGGATCGTAATTAAGTCGTTTGATATGAGTATATAAAAGCTTTTCGCGATTGTTCAACAAATAGGCTGTTTCTAAAAGGGGAAGACTTTCGGAAACACCAACACATTGTATTTGACCTGGTATCCGCGAATCGGTCGGCTTCAGACACTGGTCAGTTGTGTTTTTGATCCCGTTTAAGTTGTCAGCGAATTTTCCTTGGCTAGCTTAACCTTGGCTACTATTAAAAAGATTATGGTAGTCTTAATTTTTGGACTTTCTTTTGGGTTATTTCCACTACATCGACTTTCTTTTGGAAGCGTATTTGGGAGTAATATCATGGCTTGTTTATTGCTGGAAATTAAAAAAAAATCCTGGTATCAGTCGACAAGAACTGTTATTGCTTGACAAAACAAAGATAATGATTATGAGTTCTTACCTGAAGGCTTTTTCATTGAACCAAGGAAGTCCGAAATGCATGATTTTTCATTGGCAAAGCAGAACATTCTCAGTTTTGATTTCTTTTTTCAGTTTGTCTTGTTGATAACAAGTGTTTTTTTTTCAATTTCCAGTAAAAGCAACATGAACTCTGATCTAAAAGTGGCTCCTAATGATAAGAAAGACACAAGGTTCCGTGATAATCGTAAGGGATCCCCTGAGCGATGGGGCAAGCCAGGGAGACGTGAAAATACCCCACCTAAGGAGACCAACAGAAGTGACCCTCACTCTATTAGGTGTCGTGTTTTCATCGGTAACCTTCAGATGAGCCGCAAGGAGCTTGAAGATATTTTTGCTCAGTATGGCAAAGTAGTGGGCTGCTCTGTTCATAATAACTATGGTTTTGTACAATTTGAAGATGAAAAGTCAGCTGATGCTGCAGTTGCAAAAGAAAATGGCCAAGTTTATTATGGCAAAAGAGTAGGTGAGTCAGTGGAGAAAAAAGTTCCAGCAAGAGCACAGTGTATAGCAATTTAACATGGGGTCAAATGTTGCCGTGGAGCTTTAGATAAAAATTTGAAATAACAGTTTTTTTTGTCCCACAGTATTAACAATGGCCAAATTTTAATGGGGTTTTACATAAGGAAAAGTGACACTTTCTTAAAAGCTTTTAAACTAAACAAATCTCTAACATTTACATAACAACATCTTGAACAGCCCAGGCCTGGTGAACAAGGTCCATTGTTCTCAGCTTCCTTTGCTTTGCTGTGTGTCTAAGAGGCTCTTGGTGATGTCTTTGAATTATTAAAATTGCAGATGTCAACTTAGCTGGTGATAGAAGAAAGGAAAAGATGGAAGACAGACCACGCGACAGAGACTCAAGACCACCCTTCCCTTTCAACAGGAGAGAAAGAGAATTTGACCGTGAAGGAAACAGACAATTTAGAAAATCTCCTCCACGTGACAGACCAAGATTTGAAGATTATGATCGCTTCCCATCACGGTTTGAACCACCTCCTTTTGATCGGCGAGGGAGGTCTCCATCTCCACCTCCACCTCGGAGAATGGATGACCGCCCTTATGGTGGTGGTAGAAATGATGATTTCTACATGCGAGACAGATACAGGAATGAACCCCCTCCCAGGGAGCCATATCCACGACATGGGTTTGATCACAGAGGTGATCCATATGACAGAGATCGGAGGGATCCATATGATTCTCCTAGGGGCCCATACCCAGACAGAAGGGATGATCGATTTGATCGGTATGACTCCTATGGAAGGGATGGTCGTGACAGCCGAGAATACCCACGACCTGGAGATTATCCAGGTCCAGCTAAGAGGCCAAGAATGGATTACGATGGTCCTGATGATATTTACAGCAGTAGCAAAACTATAGAGGCTCCAACTGACTGTGTTATAGTAGTCATGAACAAACAACAAAGGTATTTGCTGCAAAGTGCCATTTCATTGTCAGTCATTTGATGACAATATATTTTTTTAGGTAGAACTGAGAAAAAGCTCTAATTTTTTATTTTCATTTTGTTCTCAAGAAAGATGATATTTGTGAGGGTTTTATTCAGCACACCATTTTGCTGTTGTTGGTGTAATGATGACCTTCAACTTTCGCAGGTGTGCAAGATCAACTTGTGAGCTTATTAGCAGCAGTGGAAACAATATCAGCCACAGTTGTCAGTCAACTCTCAAACATCTTGCACATTAAAATTTTAAGGAAATGAGCAAACATTATGACATGTTTTTCTCAAAAGCTCTTAGAATGTTTTGGGGGCCCAAACCTCATTATAAAGTTGTAAAGAAAACTCCATTGTTTCTCAAGATTCTTCCAGTATTCTTGGAGAAATAAGTATTTTTCCCTTCTTGTTTGCCCTTGGAAAGCATTGCTGTAATTTCTCTTCTAGGAAATGATTTCTGTTGAGTGTGTCCAATGTAAATTGAACAACTGTAGATGGGATATTTGACAAAAGCATGCCAGTGTTGCTAGGTGGTCTTTAGTTTAATACAAGTAGATTCCCTGTTTGGTAAAGGGATTTTTAGTTTTAGCCCCACCTTGTCAGGAATCAGAACTGACCTGAACAAATTCCTTTCAGTAGGTAGGCTCTTGACACCTTTTGTCCTTCAGAATTTTTAATGACCCTCCCATGATGTGGGTATGGATATTTCCTTCAGTCCAGGAATTGCCTATATTCATTTACAAGTACTTTCTTTGTCTTCTATGCAGAGGCTATGCAGAACTGGTTCAAAGAAGACTGAAGTCTGTTGGACTGGTGGTAGATCTGCACTTTCATGGAACTCAACCAATTGTAGAACTCTTGGATGATGTTGCACGGCGTGGCGTGTTGTATGCAATAGTGATAACCAGCCAACACGAGGTGCATCGCTCTGTGACTGTCAACATTCTGCATGGATCACCCCAAGGTAAAGATGAAACACCCCTTGCAGGGAAAACAACACATGCTGGTAAGGGGTTTATGGGGGGTAGGACAAAAGTATTCAAACTTAAATCATAGTGGCAAAACTCAGGAATATGATAAAAATGTTCTAATTACCTAATTTTCAGGGCTTTCAGATGGGAGGCTTTTATGAAGGGAGGGCCTGCTAAACACTCTTTAAGAGTAAAAATACTAGGAATTATTTTCCTTCTGAATTGTCTCCCAGCTTCACTGAATACAATTAAAGGTTGGTTTTCTTTGTTTGAAAAAGCTGCACTATTTAAAGCATATAAAATTACCATAGGCTTTCAAAAACAATTACATTCAATGGTGAATTGTTGCCTTGCTCAAATGACTAACAACATCAAAGTATAAGTGGTATCATGATAATTGCACTGTCATTATGCCTGGTGTTTTTAGCAAGAAATTATTGTTTTGGGGGAAGATGTGAGGAGAGGGTTCATAAACAACTGGCTCATTAGGGTATTTACATGCAAATCAGTTTGCTTACAGCAAGTTAGATTTGAACTTCATCCTAACCCACAACACGATGATTGTTGGCCACCATGCATGTGTATCAGACATAAGGTATGGTATGAACCCTGAGTCAAAGTGATTCATCGCATATAAATATGCTTACTTGAACTCAGAGCCATACTTGGATTTCTTTGGCATAATTATGATCTTTTGTAAACCCAGATACAAAAGGTTTTTTTTAATCTTTGATATTATTTTATCTTTCTTTTATATTGAGAATAAAACATGCTTTCTTTGTTATGATTTTGTATACTGTAAAACTTTCATATAATTTAGCTATCAATCAGGGAATGGATTGTTAGGTGGATGATCCTTGTATACATGTATATACGACTTACAACTAAAGTGGTGCAATTTGTGTGAATTGCAATCTCTTTTTATTTACCTCTATATATTTGTTCAACATTTATTTCTCATATGGTTAATGATCAATATACAATATTGATACAGCAGTGCAATTTATTTATCCCTTACCCAAAACACAGTTACAATTGTCTCAGTATTATAAAATAATGATAATGAATGGTTACTGACAGACCAAAGTAACCTTAATTAGTTCTAAATTCAAGGTTGCTAATTAATTATGTAATTTTCCTGTGAGTAAAAACTCTATAAAAAATTAGCTTGTCACATTGTTATTAACCCCATCATTCACTCCTTTACCACCACCACCACTACTTACTATTATTAATTTCAATTCTATTATTAGTATTATTGTTGTGATTGATGTGTGACTGTTTGAATGCTGTAGTCTACATTCTTGACATTCTATTACAAATTATTCCTTCTTTGTGATAAGTTATCTTAACATGTCCTGCTTGCTTCTTTTAGTCAAATTCTTGTCATTTGAGCAAGAGAATTTAAACTATATTTTTTTTTTGACAAAGCAAGATGGATATAAACAAAGTTTTTGGAACAGACTGTTATCTCAACAAAGTCTTTCCTGTTTTCTTTTGAATTTTTTTTATGATAATATGGGAGTTGCAATTACTGTAACTGTCTTGCATGAGCAAGGACAGAAAGACAATATACAAGCTTGACATATTCCATGAGAGGTAGGAATGGGCACATATTTTGACAAAAATAAAGCGTAATAAATGATATACCACATTGACCCAGCACCCTGTATGACAGTACATACAACAAAGTCATTTACTTTGTATTTTGTAGTGGTTCATGGTTAAATGAAAAAAAAACACAAACACAAACCATTACAAACCACTGTAATGATTACTTTTCAAATTAGAGATGACACTGACTACTTTGTCACTTAGGAAGAGTTCACCTACTCGGTAGACACTGAAATTCCTTGTGGGACAATTTTTTCTTATTTTGCTTTAGTTTTGTAAATGTGAAATGTAACAAGTATTGGTGTCTTTCCAGTGAGTTCAGTTGCTATTCTATTTCAAGTTACTCCACCAGCACTTTGGTACATTGCAGAGCTTATTATTTATTACACAGGTGTTCTTATTATTGTTCTATAATTATACTCGTGATTTAATTTACTTGGTTTGGAAGAAACTGAAAGACCCTAGCATCTTCTGTCTCTTAAACCTCATTACTCTTCAACCACCTACAGAATATTATTCTCTCTTTCTCATTACAACTTAAGATGATTAAATTTTGCATAGTGACAATGATCTAAGGGTGAGTTACACATGATTGTCAAATGACAGGGTCATGAACACAGAGATCTGCTTTGTAAATATTTTTATTAAATTTTTTATAAATGATGTTTCTACATGTAGACTCTCTTATAGGCTTAGCTGAAGTATATTTAACCAAACTATAGAAATTATCCTTCTGTGTGTGGTTGTTGTTAACTGAAAATGGTTGACAAATATTTAGATGTCGTGTGTTTCATAAACTCTCAACTTATTGACATTCTTTCATAATTTAAAACCTAGAAGTTTCCTAGAACCGGTAAGTTGTCAGTAATTAAACATCACGCGCAATGTAGGGATCACGTTATTGGGGAGTTATTTACGGAAATGAAATGTTATGACTGAAAACTTTTAGAAGGTTTCATTTTCAAGGGTCATAAACCATAGAGAAAAAAACTCTTATACGGGCTTAAAACTAATTTTCGTTTTTTCGTTAATATTTAGCTTGTGAGCTTTGTTTTTTCAAACAATATTTAAACTATTTTTAAGTTTTATCATGGCATGTACTTGTGTGTGCTTGCTGTGCTAATTAATTTATTTGCTATGAGTGGGCTCGACTTTGTTAATACACCGTTTGATTATGCATTTGTATGATGGGCCGTAATCCATGTGCAATATTTCTTTTAAATCATCTGTGGCATGTGTGGGTAATAAAAAGTTGGGCTGGGAAGTAAAATTATAAATTCTTTATCAGCGTAGCACATCACCAAAACCAGCATCCACAAGAGGAAAACATTGATTTTTTTTGTTTCATGACCTGTTGTCATCTCTTGTTTCAACTTGAGACCCATTTTATCTCCATACAGAGCATAGAAACATGCCTCTTGATGATGCTATGAGACTCGTTGGTCAAAATTTTGATCAGTACATGCAAGATCTACGTGAAAGAGCGAAAGCTAGCAGTGTTCAGGGAAGTAGCAAAGATGTCGGTGAGACAGTTTCCAAAGAAGAAAAATCATCCGAGATATCATCCCTTTTGAGTAAAGCTGCAGCTGGTGGGAACCTTTCTTCAGACCAGTTAGCAAAGCTGATTGATGATTTGTCGAAACGCCAGCAAGAAGTTGTAGGAAGCACCTCAACAGCCAATGGCAAGGGAGGTAAAAATTCACCACGTGATTTTTTTTCTCTGCAGTCATCCAACCTTTGTCACCATGGTCTTGGAAGCTAAGTCAGCTTTATTCAGATGTACTGCGATTTTTTTGTCTTGACTGGAAATTAGATGTGCATCGTGTGGTGCCGATTCACTTTACATCAAAACTTATTTCTTCACATTGCATTACAGATACTAAAATTGTGTAGGAAATTGAAATTTCGGCTCCAATTTCTCTGTTGGCCTGAAAACAAGAGCAAATTAAGACAACAGAGTTTTTCTCAAAGGGTAATGAACATACTATTTATCTTCTTAAATCTGTAACATCCTTGCCATAGCTGAAAATAGCTAAAAATCTTGAAATTTTAATTCGTAATATAATTGGGATGATATGAATTTGGACAAGGAATTACTCGTCAAAATGTGGCTTTTAACCAGAGCTGGCTAATATTTGTTGACCTGAAAATGAAACTTTCTGGTTTTAATTTAATGAACATGTAACTAGAAGAAATGTGCCTGTCAATGTGTACTGATCGAATGGAACAACACTCGCTCTCATTTAGGACCATGACTTACATTGTATGTGTACTCATTTTTAAGTCAAAACTGAAGTTTTGGCCTCGTTGGCACATTGGGATCGGCCATTCTGTTCAAGCGCAGAAAGCATGCATAAACGGCCCGTAGGTGACGTCAGTTCGGTGTAAAAGATCAGGGTAAAGTGAATGTGCATAAGTATGACACGTTTTACTCAAAATCCATCATTCTAAATTCCGGTAGTAATTGGCCTATCATTAATGTGTTACACATCTCTTCAGAAGTATATTTCTTTTTTGTCTGATTGGAGATGCAGTGATCTTAGCGTAAGCTTTAGGTTGTGCAAATTTTCCTTCCTCACGTCAATGGTCCCGCAGTCCGGTGAGCCGTTGGGGCTCCACAGATGAATTTCCAACCAATCTACACCATTTCTTGCGAATACTCTAGGAGATGATCAACATCAAATATGAGGTGGAATGTGGTGTCATAATGCACCATCTTGAATGAAATAATTAAGATGGTATTTGTAGAAATAAGCCTCTTTGCATGTTATTCATCCTGTGTGAGGGTAGGAGAGACATTTTTTAATTGCCTGGAGAAAGTGTAGTGTGGAAACTGGAATGTAATAAGTTTCCTTTGCAGGAAATAGTGTCACGAAGTATTGCAGGGCCTTTTATCCCAAAATGATGAGTTTTCTCTAGATTTCTGATGTCCCCGGATATGCTAATGAATTAAAATTTTGAAATTTATGATAAGCATTGGAATTCAAGTGGATGTCCTTGCCTGAAATTTGTGACATCAAGATAGTGTATGAGACTTGCCATAATGAAAGAACTGTGCAAGTAGCAAATTGAAATGTATTGAAAATTAACATATTGATATTCAAACCAAAGAAAACTTCAAATTGTCTGAGCTAGTTCGTACTAGTATTTTGGTAAATTAATCAGGGATGTATTAACATTTAGCTAGCAGGCAGTCTCAGTATGATTGAAAAGTTGTCATACTTGAAAACTTTACTTTTTTTACTTCTCTGATGATCAAAGTCAGTAACTTTTTGCTCTGATGACAATCCTCTGGGTGTTTACGAATGACAATAACATTTGAAAAAAAACAGACAATGACAATGTAACGAATGACAGTGAGATTTTAGCTAAAGGCTGCTTCTGGAAAACCCAGAAAATCGTAATTTTTTTTTTAAATTTCGAAATTGATACATTGAGCTGCTATGCTCCTTCTCTTTGCTGTTTTCTGTTTCCTGTGGTATGTCTACAATATTTTTATTGTTCATCATAGTTCCATTTACACCCGCTTTTTCACCAGGATTAGCGACAACTCAACCAAGTCAGCCCGCCGTGGATCCTCAGTCAATTGCCAAGCAACAAGCCGACCTTCAAGCTAAAATACTAAGTATTTTAAACCCTGGAGGAGTCGCCAAGTCTGGTGGTACCTCGAGTAGTTCTCTGACTCAGCAGGCAGCCATGCCAAGTGTTGTCCCTTCACCAAATGTTGCTACTGCAGCGAAATCGGCAGCACTTAGCACTACTGCAAAACCAATCTTTCCTCTGTATCTTGCCCAACAAAAACTTGTCACGCCAATACCAGGTAGTGGAGGATACTTATCGTCTTCAGCAGCACCTGGCCCAGGGGCTTTAACAGGTGCGACAGGATCAAAGACACTGTCTTCTACTCCATCAAATCAAATCGGAAAATCTCCCCAAAGTGCAGTACAATATGGTGTTACATCTGCATCGAGTTCATATTCTGCTGCTTCTGTCAGAACAACTCCATCCGCAGCATATCAGTACACCAAACCTGCAGCTCAAGGAGTCCAAAGCACCTACGCTACTGGTGCTAACCGAGCTGCGACAGCTTCATCAAGCTCTTCTTATGGCTCTCCGGCAACCCAGCGATCTCAGACGTACTCGGCTGTTACCCAGGCTCAAAAATCAACTGCCTCTTCTGCCACCCAGTCTCCAATTTCTGCTGTTTCAAAAGCTGGTCTTGCCGGACAAGCAATAGGGACAATTGGCGTGCAAAGACCGAATGCAGTTGGCCGTGGATCACCTGGTAGTTTGAGTGGTTCAAGGCCTGGTACAGGCGCCCCTGGAGTCCAGATGAGAACCCCATATCCAATGGCATCTAAAGGTAGAGCTGGTTTACTAGGAGCTTCCCCGACAGCTGGAGTTAGAGGACCCACACAAACTGGTGCTGCCAGAGCCCCTGCACCTTCAGGTTCTCCAGGTGTACGCATGGGAACTCCTAGAGGTCCCTCACCAGTGGGTAGAGGTACTGTGAGGACGCCATCCCCAGCAGGCATGCAGGGACAGGCTCGTGGTAGAGCTATAGCAGTCCGGGGTGGAGCTATCTCTGTTCGTGGTGGGGCAGTTGGTGGAAAAGCTGGAACTGGTGCCGCTAGCACGACAGGCGTTGCTGTCTCTCAAACAGCTTCCCCTAATAGGGGTGCCCTTGTTCAGCGAGGTGCTCCAATCGCACGGGGCATTCCTACCAGAGGAGGAGGAACTGGTCCAACACGAGGTTCTCCAGCGAACCGAGGCGCTGCTCGCGGTGGCTTAGCACCTCGAGGGGCCCCTACCTCTCGAGGTGGTCTAATTTCCCGAGGGGGCCCCCAAATGCGTGGTGCTCCAAGCGCCCGTGGTGGTCCTTCACAACAGGGTACCCCAATTCGTTCGTTAGGTCCTGGTGGAAGAATTGCTGGACAAGGCCCTATAAATCGTGGTGCGCCTCGGGGAAGGCCCATGATGCGTGGCGGTCCTGGTTTCAGAGGAGGTCGTGGAAATTCCGGTGGATACTAATAGGGCAACATGATGTGGAGTTTGCGGACCTTTTAATACAGAATTGAACAGTATCATAAATCTACCATGTTAGTGTATGTGCAAAGTGCATGCTTTCTTATTTGCTTTTGTTGTTTTAGTTGTCGTGTATCGCAACAAAAAGTGAGAGACTCCTCTTACTCCGCCACTTTCGAAAGAGAAAGGTTTTTATGTAAATTTTATCAGTCACCGTCTGGAGTCTTGTTTCTTTTTTACCTATGCCACTCTATTGCTGGCTAGTTGTAGTTGTATTTCTCTCGCGAAGATCATTCTGCAACATGCTTTTATTAAAGAAGTCGTAAAGTTTGACCAAAAAACTGCTTTGTACTTTTCAGAGTAATATTAAACTTGAATGCGAACTATGCTGAAGTTATCTTCAATGTACCGAAATAGCTGACAGATAAACACGCGAATCCTACACCCAGTTTATTTCATTACGTTATTAACGGTTACTGGAACTAACTGGGCCCTTGTTAAAGGTGACACATACAGATATGTAACTTGTAACGCTTCCAGAATCTCTCTAACTTGTTGTTTTAAAATCAAATACATTTTATGATGAAATTTCTGTTTTCTCTTTGGTCCAAATTATTCCTCTTTAAATACCTCTGTTTTCAATGTTGTATGTTTGCCCGAATTAGTCGCTCAATATTTCACCTTGTTATTGTATCGTTAAGTCATCTAGTTACCACAAGATTTGCATTGTTTTGTATGTGGTTTGTTCATACAGGAAGAGTTTGAAAAAAACTCTTCAGGAATTAGAACATGCTGCCTGATCTTTTAACTACTGCAAACGAAAATTTAATCGTGATTACATGTGACCGGTCACACGCAGCGCTAAGAATATGCATTTATCTGTCGAAGCTATCTGCAGTGGTAACTTATGTGTAGGGGAAGATCTTAGGAAGCAGTGCATTTGATAGCAGTCATTCCTTCTGTCTCTCTAAGAATATGCAGGTACTTGCCGAAGCTATCTGCAGTGGTAACTTATGTGCAGGGGAAGATTTCAGCAAGCAGTGCATTCGATAGTAGTCATTCCCTAGGTCTCTCTCCATGCTGTTGACGCGGAGTGACTCTGCTTGTTCTTCTAACCTTTTTTAAATAAACAACTGATCTCCCTATAGAGCGAACTACAGCTGAAGGCTGCTTTCGCCCACCAATTTACTCTACTTTTCAAATTCTTATTTATTTTTATCCTCATTATTATTGTTATTATCATTATTATTATAATTGCTATTGTTATCGTTCTCGTTTTAAAGCGAATTTTTAGACGTTTCGTTTCCTGGTAGTAGTAGACTAAGTACAGGCGGTACCATTAAGCTATGGAACCTCAGTTGAAACTAATCTCGAGTGTTGACCGTTGTTGCACAAACGTTTATGTATTGCACTGGTAGCAATTGAGCAACGGTGGGTTTGCTGTTACAAATTCGATTATAATGGTTTGTAAGCATTTACTGTAAAGATCATTTTTGGGGGGTAACGCGATCGTTAAAGAGTTATAAGTATATTTAAAGAAATCCTGACTATACCATACAGTACCCGGAAATCGCAGGAAAGCTCTTGTCGCCACAAAGAACATTGTTACAGAACAGACACGACTACGCAACACATCATGCCAGCACATTCAACTCGTTCTCCGCATTAATCACCATACCTCTCCGTACAAGACTCTTACTAACTCGTGCCATGTTCGGTTGCTAGATGAGGGTGTGTCCTGCACATACCGCATTACTGTGTCACTTTGTTTTTCCCAAGATACTCAGTGATACGGAAGAGACCTGTCCAAAATGGTGACTTAAATTGGTTATTGTAGGAAAGTGAAGTTGCCTCTAAATCTCTAAGATATAGAAGAATCAAAATTTGTTCTTGTTTATATTATCTTGCTATTAGTTTTTGTTTGTTTTTTTTTGTTTTTTTTGCTGATCTGCTCTCAATTTGGAGCTGTTTGTGGTTGTAATTTAGATTTAAAAGAATACTTTGTGCACTTTCTTGACCTTTGCTTCCCGTCTCATTTTTCTTTGTCTACACAGACTGACAGAGAATTATCTCAAACAACACTATTTCATACTTAGCATCACGGCATATAATTTGTTCTTTCTGGTACCTCTGACAAAGCCATATTTAAATTTTCACCTACCAGGCTCTCAAATGAATCCGTAATGATTTGTCCACCACGGGCTGTGCTCTTTAACCTTAATCAGTTTCAACAGCAAATGAAATCTCCTTCAATTCGTTTTCATTTGTCATCTAAATGTGATGGTGGTCCATTTTTTAATGTAAATTGTTTGTGGAGCTTGGCCAAACATGGGAGAACGAAAGGAATGTCCCACTAAGGAACGTGTTAACGGGTGAGTTTCTATACAAGATTTCGCCCTTCAACTTGAGTTCCTGGGTTCCCTGTCAAACTGTCCACGACACCATTTTTCGACCAGTTATTTGAAGTACGCTCCTGTGGCATCTTCGTCTCGTACTTTTCTCGGGATGTTGATATGCAGAATTTAATATGCAATTGAGTTATTTGTTCTATGATTGGACCAGAAGACTCGCATTGCTCTCTCAACCAATGAAGTCAGAAACTTAAGCCAACCATTTGGTACTCACGTTTTCCCGGCCTCAAACTTTTTCTCATTTTTTCTTAAGTTATTACTGGCTGTTTGCGAAATTTTCCTTTTCTCGGATTGGAAGTTGTGATTACTTTGGTTTTGGTGTATTCTGATTATGACTGGTCCTGACTTGTGATGGCTTCTCGTAAACTGATCGCGTCTAATTCAGTCTTCTTAGTCGTCAAATAAACGCCAAGTCCATCTTCTTTGACGAAAGGAACATTTATTATGGAAAGTTTGTTAACTTGTGATGAAACTCTACATAGAATGATTGAATTACAAAGAGTGAAAAGTGTAAATCTAATATCGTAATCAATGAAAGATTATAAAAGATGTTCAGTGAAAGATGAAATACCAAATGAGTGGTTACATCAGCGTTTTAGGAACTTATTACGTCATGTTAGTCCCCAGTCGATTGTAGCTAATCGAATTATATTTTTGAGTTTTTTTTTCCCTTAAACAAAACTCTGTGTTAGCTTATCGAGGGGTGTGTTGCTCGCACCTGTTAGATCGCTGCATTTGGGTATGTATCGCACTAATTAGATCGCCGCACTAGTGTACGTCTCGCACCAATCAGATCAAAGCATTGAGGTATGCTGGCATCAGTTAGAGTGTTCTTCATGTAAATCATGTCATGAAATTAGGATACCACAACATGTTGCGATCGAATCCACCCAAAATTGACACAAAGCAAGAATCACCTAAGAAGGACTTGTGAGCTCATCAACCCAGTTCATGTCCCTTGTGATGACTTCGTCGCTGTGATCTGTCGGGCGTCGATAGGTCGTTGGAGAATTTTTCAACCACATAGTAGATAAAAAGTGCTTTGTGTACCGCTCCTTCTTTAACAACGTACGCGCCGTCAGCTAAAGACCAAACACGAAATTATCACTAGAGCGTTTCTTTTGGGAGGGCTAGTTTCCCTGACTAGGGTAAAAATTGCGCAAAGCATTTGCATAAAGCACATTTGATCGATAATCTTGATTTTGTCTTGTGATTGCTTTCTCGGCGAAAGTTGAAAATATTAACAAGTTGTATTTACTTTCTGCGTCAACTGCGATGTGAAATATCTGTTTCTTTGCTTATGGTGCGTTTAGGTGCATCGAGAGGAATTTAAGTGAATGCAAGTGAAGACCTCTTCTACACTCCCTCCAGCTTCGTCCCTGTTAGAGTACAAGAACGCTTGGGTTATAGTACCTTTTAGATTCTTTTGGGAACTTTTACGCCTTGAAAAGTTCCGTTTTTGCCTTAGATAATGTGCCACGTTTCTCAGGGTATATCTTCTAATAAGAAAGTCTACGTCCATCAATTCTCGAAGGTCGCCGTATTAATCGTCATGTCGTGCATGACGTGTTTAATTTTGGCCGTGTTTGTTTGTTTTTTTCTTTTTCCGTCATGCACTCGAGGATGAAATCGTATTATCCACTCAGAAGCGTAAATTGATTTGATTTATCGCAGGGTAATACAGCAAAGGCTGGGAAACATCTTTTACAGCGCCATTCCCCATTGAATTTCACAAGATTTTCATAAACTATTACACGCTAAAATTATTTTGCATATTCTCCACACTGTACTCTGCACGCTTCTTCAGGTGCTGTCAAGGAGAATTTGTTTCAACATCAAGACCTTCTTTTGTTGGTTATTTCCTTTATTCTTGTGGCCTTAGCGTGTGATTCAGGGGTGATATTAAAGGAGAAGTTAGATTCTAATCACTCTTGGGGTCAAATGGTTAACAGGGCTAATCTCGCCGCAGTACGAGCGGATTTCACAGGGTCTTTTCTTGTACACAATCAACCATGTTGGTGGAAAAGTAATTCAGCGTGATATTCATCACAGACTAACCAGCCCTTGTCACGTACAACCAGTTGTTTAATGACGTCTGTTTGCGGTGCAGATCTGATTGATTTGGAAATTTACTCACTCGTGTTTTTTTTTTTTATCCAGTTTGCGATGTCGCAGCCAAGTCAAACTTAAAGACAATTTGTAGAGACGATTAAGTTCGATGTTCTTACTAGACTGGTGTGGATTCAGGAATGGGAAACATTTTCGGCGCGTGTACGTGAGAGGTGGGAAAACTGTTGCTTACAGTTGTAATATTTGCAAGTGCACCATTTTCACTGGGTTTCCTGTTCTTTTTTAAAGCCATCTAGTCATGCACATGGTATTTTTTTCCTTATTCTCCTACGTTGTTAATGGTCACAGTTTTGTAAACAGCATGTTTACTTTTTTGTCACGGCAGGTCACATTTCGTATGATGTGGGAATCAACAAGAACGAGACTCAAGCAGAGGAAGACGTCAACTGGGCGATCACCTTGCTCAAACGCCCAGAAAATAAATTACTTCCTTAATAACATGTAGTTTCATTTGTCTCAAACCTCTGAAGATTCCGTCCCAAAAGTTACAATAAAGGTAACCAGATTCAACGATCACCAGCATTACATACTCTGTGCTCGAATTTATTTTTTCCTCTTTCTTCCCTTTGGCAACCCATTAACTGTGTATCAGGCTGTCGGCAAGAGATTGTAGATTGAATATTATCTTTTAACAGTCAGTTATACGGATGGGGCGGCACACGGAAAGATTTTGATGACATCTGCTCCGCGAAACGTTCGAATTTGAGTGCATAAACATAAATGTTTTAAAAACACGAACTGAGGGCGGAGAGCTACCGCGGCCCACTAGCTGCGCTTTGGGATCAACTGA